TCGAACTGTTAACCATTTGTCGATACTGGATCTTGTGCTAACTAACGAAGCACTCATGGTTGACGGGATAGTTACAAGCACACCATTGGGTCGTAGGGATCATGTTACTCTAATATTTGACTATATATGCTAGGAGGAGTACCCTGAAAAAAGGAAAAGGATAAATTGCATACTGTCACGCACTAAAATGTGTTGTCTAAGCTTGTTAAAGATACATCTTGGACTGTCTTAACCGAATACACCCAGATGTTGCCTGGGAAACACTTACAAGGACGTTTAGTACACTGGTAGCGCACGCATCAAAACATAAGTTCTTTCAACTCAAAAGCAAGCGTATGTCATTCCTGAGGAACAGAACACGTAAATGTATGTCCCGGAGGGATTTGGCATCGCGAGATCACCAGGACTGTCCGAATGCCGAAACATGAACTGCATACGTGACACATCGTGAATTCTGTGTGAAACTGATCCCCGAAGCCAAGGTCACGCATCAGCAGAAGTTAATGAATAGCTTCTGAACTAACCGCAAACTGCTGTAGAGTCACGTTAACGGCATTCGAAAGGTGAAGCGGGGATTCCAGCGCTAGTCACGGCTAATGGGTGCAAGCGATCAGCAATGGAAACAGCTGATCTCCTACGGCCTCATTACTCCCAAACTTTCCAGCAGGCAACGAACCCGAACATTATCCTCATTTCTAATACTCCAAAATCTGGTTTAGAAAACATCACCTTCACTGCGGAAGCCGTGTTGAATTAGTTATCCTTGCGTATCCACAGTTCTCCCGGAGCTGACAAAATCCAAACAAATGCTATGCAGGCGGTAGCTAGTGATCTATCAGCACCACTGGCTATTTTTATCAGCGATGTCTAGAAGAGAACCGTATTCCACCAATATGGAAGCGAAGGGTCATCACTCCTATCCATAAAGGAGGTAGTTGCACTGATCCTGCCAACTGCCGTCCAATAACACTACTTATCTGACTGTCCAAAGTGATGGAGTCAATCATCGCAGAAACGCTGATTCAATCCCTGGAAAGCCACAAGTTAATTGCCTCAGAGCAACATGGCTTTCGTGGAAAGCATTCATGTAATACTAACCTATTAATTGTATGTAATAGCTGAACTGAAGCTGTTGATGATGGAGTAGGAGTCGATGTCAACTACTTGGACTTCTCAAAAGCGTTTGAACGCTTAAACCATCGCATTCTTCTACAGAAGCCTGGAAATTACTGAATTGGCCACCAAATCCTGATTTGGATTGGCAATTTTCTACAAGAACGACGGTTAGTGGTAAGAGTCCAAGAAACATTTTCTCATGTAATCGATGCGGCGTGTGGAGTACCAAATGCTCGGTTCTTCGACGTCGTTTATCTTTGGAGTTCATTAACGATTTGGCGAGATCAATTACTTCCGATTTCCTATGTTTTGCTGACATACCAAGATATGGCGAAGGATCAGGTGACCGGAAGACCATGAACGACTCCAGTGCGATCTTAACACAGTGTCGAACTGGTCAGTTCAAAACGCCCTTCCGTTCAATGTAGACAAATGTCGCGTTGTACAATTACGCCACATACATAACTACACCTACTTACTTGGGACAAACGGATTGCAAAATGCCCCCAGGAACGTGACCTTGGTGTGCTCGTGCAGAGGGATCGCAACTGTTCAAAACAGGCTGAGGTATCTGCGAAAAGAGACAACCAGCAAAACGGCATGCTGCGAAGAGCATTCGGGAGATTTGACAAATACATGTTCCCAATGATGCACAAATCCTACGTACGACCGCATGTTGAATACGCTATCCAAGCTTGGCAACCTTGGTTGAAGCACGACGTAGAAGCGATAGAGGCAGCACAACGAAGAGCGACAAAGAATGTTAAGGGCCTGCGATATCAATCTTACCACAGAAGGCTGAAGTTGCTGGGAATTTTCAGCGGACGCTATCGAAAGCTGCGCGGCGATCTCATATAAGCGCATCAGATACTGAGTGACCCCAACCACGTACGCCGCCATTTGCTGAAAATTAGCCACAACACGCATCTCAGAGGTAAGTGCTTAAATTTGAAGGAGCAATATAGCCGTCTATAGTGTTGACGGAATCACTTTTCTTTTCGGGTTTGCCAACCCTGGAAAGCACTCCCAGACTCAGTTGTATCCTCCCCTACCATGGATATTTTCAAAAAAATATTAGCTGTTGCTCTTAGCTCCCAGCATTTTGTTACCTAAACTCCTCTATTGTGGATTACGGCAAGCATGCCTTTCAACAGGATTTATTTATCAAATGGACCCAAGTGAGTGACCATATTTTACTTTCCTCACTCCTTACATCAAAGATCACTGCACTCCAGTGTTTTTATGAACGTTTAAGCTCGATAATTTTTATTATTTTGACACTGATTTTAAGTATCAAAGTATTCATCTTGGCAGACGTTCAATAGATGACCCAGACATAGTTTGATTTCGGCATATTCACCGCAACCATCCTACGGTTTTATCCCGTGATAAATCATTTTCATTGTTCATTGTTCAACTTTGCACTGCACATTGAAGTGTCTGTACAGCATCTACAAAACTATCCTCCGCATGGCTTCATCGTTGCGGACAAGCGTGGCCAATTTGGATCGCTTACAACTGATCTTAGCCTCGTGAGAGCGACGCATAAGAATCTTTGGATGCCTTTAGTTATTTCTTTAGGATATGCGCCCCTAAATTTGCAAGTTAGAATAGACAAATAGCTACTGATGATAAGCGTTTGAACAACTGTACTGCAATGTTTGCAAAGCTGCAGGAGGAACCTCCAACTTAATTTAGCAATTTCTCTCGAATCTAAAGTCATTTGCATAGGTCGATAACCGAAAACCATTGTCTGAAACAAACTTTCATTAGTGTCTGTTAACAGCAGTAAACAAGAATAATCGCAGTCAACTTTGCAGCGATATTGCTATGAATCGGCCTTAATGAAGTCGTGGCCGTTTTCCTCTACCCTATAAATGAAAAAGAAGAATCGTTTGCTTTGCTCTAATACAAACTAAATCAATACTAATTTTCATATGGCCTGGCAGTATCTTCATTCAAAACATCGCATTCCCTGCATTTACTTGTATGTTGTTGTACCGTGCAGGTTGACGTAGCATTCAATGTACGAGTTAAATGATTAGAACTGTGAATTCATATTAGGGTAGATTGCGGGATAAAAGCAACACTACAAAATCTTTCGCACGTTTGTCAAACTGATTGACCCACACAGGTACAAGCAAGTATAAGGGCGTCTACTATAATCTACTGTTTTGCCTAGCTCTAAAATAACTTGCATATGCGAACAATCAGAAATCATCTTGTCTCCATCAGCAAGACACCACCATTTCCAAAGATTACTGCTTCCGCACATGCAGGTCGTATATGAATATTTTTACGTGTGTATGCTCACATAATTTCTTTTTCTTTTACTTACATTTTCTGTGAACGTCGCTAGTAAGTAGCATTTTCTATGGATTTCGGACTGAGGCACGGTATCGTGCACGGTGCTTTTAGAATGTGTAGTTTAATCACGTTTTTCTGATATTTGAAGCTTTATAAACGCAAAAGATTTTTACATCTCAAGCCAATTGCCTGGCAGACTGGTTGAACTCGGAAAAGAATACACTAAACACGCTAGTTCTCTTCGTTGCACTATACGCGTCTTGTGTGTCAAAACATGTAAAAATCTACCTCTTTGCACTATAGACGAAACAGAACCGGTCTTACCTTTTCGTGAGTTCATTCATTCTCTAATGTTTGCATTAACTTGCAAGATCAATTTTCCGATTAAAACTTTTGGTCTATTAAACTCCACTGAACTCATAGCATACAAACCTCTTGCATGATTACCTGAATACATTTAGAAGCTGATATTAGTTGATGGTGTGTAATTTTAAGTTGGTCTTTCATCACGAATTAAAATCGATCCACATAATTTGAACAATTATCTTGAAACTAATATTGCTAATGCCGCGCACACGTTCTTCCAGGCTATCATCATCATCAATGTGATCATGTACTGATACGCAAAGCTTCGTAGAACAGTTGTATTTCTAAATGCATGCTAGGTGTCTTCTGCCTTGATTGGTAGGCATAGGTAGACTTAGCTAACTAGCACCCTATTTTATTATTATTAAGCGCTTAATCTGCTGGTCGAAATGATGGCTTGCGCCTCTAGATGCACCGGCATTCGATGTTTATGCTTTTGGCAGCGAATAAATTGTCTATGTTGGTATGACCTTGCATGAAGTATATTTCTCGACTAAATTATTTAGCAGTTGTTTTATTTTCGATGGAAGGTATTGTAAATTACCTTGGGTTCCATGCATTGTTTGTCAAGCGCATATCCAATTGGCAGAATGGGGCTGACTAGTCTCCGAAATGTAATGCGTCTGACAGAGATTTCATTCGACCGCATTGTGATGACAATTTGTTGCCAGACGGGCAAGTATTTACTGTTTGTAGGAAATACTGCACTGGAAGTAATTACCTCCATAATGTTGCGAGCGCACAACTGGACAAAAGCATAGGTGGGATGTATGGAGTGGTTTCGTGTCCAGTGGGACAGACGCCGAGTTTAAATATTTAATCAAGATTTAGGTTGTCATTTGGGATACTTTCTAACCATGTAATTTTCCATTACTCTGCAGCGGAAAATAATATTTTTGGTGAGTTCCGTACTCGCTGTTGGTCTTACAGAAGTCCAAAGAGCTGTTCGTAAATTGATCTAAAATAGGAACTGCGCGCTCCCGTAGTTGTCGTTTATGCTTCGTTTCAACTTGGAATTTACGAATTTTTATTTTCAGTTATGCCGTAGTAGCTATACGTCTCATGGCTATTGTTTAATCACTTGGGCAGAAAGGTCCTTTGGTCTGAGTGCCACCGATTGTCATATGCATTTCACCGAGTTTGTATTGTTAAAGCACCAGCGTTCTTAAAAGTGGGAGCTAATAAATCCAAAGAACAAACAACCATCAGTTAATGCGTTACATAAAGCCACAAACGCGTACACATTAACTTGAATAAAGCGTCATGCGCCGTGTAGTTATCATTCAATACGTCCATTTCAGTTCAATGTGGGAAAGACATAAAAGCAGAAATTGGAAACCTCTCGTATCAAGGAAAAGAAGGACGTAACTATCTATGCATCTGGAGAATTACGGTCGAATACGGCAAAGTGATTGCTTTCAATCTAACAAATATATCCGTACGTTCATATTAACTAATTGACAATTACACATGTAGCTTCACTACTCTACGAACAGTGTACGACAATGTAGCATGCATTATTCTACGGATCCCCTTACATCAGAAATCAATTTTTTAAGTAGGCGAACTGCATAGGTGTGCGCCTTTGGAAAGTAAAGCCCTGGACACATCAGAAAACTACCAACATCTAATGTAATAATTTAGTTCTGACCTGTTAACCGTAGTTGAACTCGTGAATTCAAATTTAGACTGCAACAGATTTTCAGGAGAGATATGTTACATTTTCCAGATAAGCTACACAGAGAACTGGCTGCGTCTTCTGGATGGAAGCGATTGTGGTGCACCGGTCGTCTATTTCGTATCCGGAGATTCAGAAAACAGTCTCGTATCACTGACTTCTACCTCAAATACAATGATGGTCATATATAATGCAATAAGTGAGGGGGAAAAAGATACATTTGAGGCCACCTATAAAATGGGTAAGTCCGGAGAAAGCTATCACGGGTACATTATACAGATGCATTTAATAGGTTTCGCATTCATATCTGAAATTGGATAGGTTATATATAAGCGCATCTGCTTAACCGGAGATGAGTAATACATTGTCGTAATAGTTATGCGATTTAGTTAGGTAAGGAAAGGTTCCATCATCTTTCAGGTATCCGCCAAACATAGACACATATAAATATTCCACGCTTAGTTTCAATTGCACATTGAAGTAATTATACGCAAAAATAGCACTAAAATTTCAGGAAGAATAATAGTTATGTTATGTTATACCAACATTCAAGCACTACAAGTGAGGGTTTGTTAATGAGCTAAGCTATTACACTTCAAATAAACAGCAGAATACCGTTTTAGAAGCCGAGGAAGACACTATCTTGACTGCGTATATTATTTGTTGATTATCCATGTTCTTTAGTAACGCGAAGTTACTTTACTTGTTTATACGTTTATTTCTAGTGTCTGCGCCACCTGACACCACACCGGAAGGTGAGTTCTACTTTAAATGATTCCTTACGAAAAACTTAAACAGTTTTATGACAGAATAACCGATTTGCTTCTTATGCCAAAAGAAGGATGCGAAGTTACTTAAAACATTGTGAATGGTAGCCCAGAACACGTGGTTGAAACCAGTGTAGGAATGCCGTTTATATACCCCACTGCATTTCCCTCATTTGTATACAGCTTATGTTTTCCATACTAAAGAAAAACTACCCCACGGAAGATGATGTTGCTCGTTCTAATAAGCTGATTTCTATCCTAACGTCCACCTTAGGTTCGGCAGTCAATTTTTCCACGCAAGTTGGGATGATATATTTCTATCAATCTCATTGATGCTATCTCACAAATGAGCGGGGTTCCTTCAATTCTATTACCAATTTACAAATGACAAATCTTGATGAATTTATGCAAGCTCGTTCGTTCATTTCTCAGATACCGTATCTTATCGTGTTAATAGCTGAGTTAATTTAAATAGTTGAACAGTACGTTATAGAGTTTATATAACTAACATTATTTGACGCAAGTAAAGCATAAGTAGCCGAGGAGATATAAATGGGCAAATATTGTTCTCAAGTCGCGTCACAAACCGATGGTTATTTGTCCTCTGACAGCCATTATTTAGTTATTGTTGCATATGTTGCAAATGAGCAGTAGATGTATGACTTAAATTGGATTTCAGATGCTCTTTAACTTATTAGTAGAAATGCATCACTATCCAGTGGCCCCAACCATACTCCGGCAACAGTCGAGTTCTGCGTTCGAGTTGCACAGGGTATAGTTGGGGAGTGAATTGATGAAATTCCCGAAATGATTACATGCCCGTACAGTGTGATGGCTGACTTAATGCGACCGGTGGTGCTGAATTTCTAAGTATATCTTGCAAACCCCCGCAACCCATTAGCTTCTTAATTTGAGTGCCTTATACCATCCTGTAATTGGTAAGGTATGTGCAAAATGAATGCAGGCTCTTTCAAGCGCCCAACGGGAGTCGGGTTATCAGCGTAGTATTTAAATATTTAATCAAACGCGCCCATTGATCTAGTCATCTCATCAAACAACGGAAATGAACAGGAGAATGGAAAGGCAGATGCCAAATAATAAACCAAAAACCCAATGGTCAGACATATAAACTAATCACGTTTATTACAAAATGCAGGAAATATTTTTCGGGAATCGACCACACATTACAACAAAAATTACATCGGTTTAGTGAAACCACCGAAGTATCTCTAACCGCAGAAAACCTAATACATCAACAGAGTAATGAGGAGTGATTACTAACGTTTGAAATTCAAATGCGGGTAATTCGCGTAAACTACTCTTAATGAATAGGTTTAGAGGACTTCTCGACTATTCTAAGGGATATTGTAAGCTGAGATGTGTTGGTTAAAATATCCATTATTCCTTCAAGAATAAAGGCATGTTACATTTTCAATTTATTATTAAAGCTTCTTGCATAACTTCTGCTATTTTATTTGCAGCTGGTTCAACAATGATGATTATGTTGGCTACAAAACTGTTTCTCATTACATGGGCACGAATTTATGCTTTAACCTGAAAAATTTAGGATTGGAAACCTTTAATATCTTCATGTTGCAACTCCACGTAACCCTGCACTCAGCTACGAAGATTTTCATTGCTTTTATTTAGTGAATGAAATCCTATTGCAAACAAATATTTGTCCTGTCATAAAATCCAATTGCTACATGTATCTATCTGATACTGTTAATTCCATATGAAAAAGTACAAGCGTATTAACAGTTTTCCGAATTGTGTGCCCGGCACAGCATGTGCATGTGACATATTTTGAAGAAAGTGATGTGAACTTCAATGAACTAAACTGATCGAAGCGTTTCTCTAAATATTACATGCAAATATTTCATTCCAATTGTACGCTAATCGTAGGGTATAATAACATAAAATATTTCAGGGTGAAGAATAGTTATGTGTGGCTCCACCACACATTTAAGCACTACAATTGGAGGGTTGTAAATGAGCTAAGCTATTACACTCCAAATAAACAGCAGTCTACCGTTGTAGAAACCGAGGAAGACACTATCTTGACTACGTGCGACATCTGTTGATTATCCATGCACTTTAGTAAATCAAAGCTACTCTATGTGTTCATACGTGTCTTTCTAGTGTCTGCGCACCCTGACACTACACCGGAAGGTGAGTTCTATTTTAAATGATTTACTACAAGAAAATCTTTAACAGTTTATGACAGAACTAACGCTTTACTTCATATACCAGAAAGAAGGTTGTTAAGTTACCTAAAGCATTGTGAATGGTAGCCCAGAACACCTATGTGAAACCAGTATATGAATGCCCTTTATATATCCCCACTAGTTTTCCCTCCTTTATATACAGCTTATGTTTTCCATACTAAAAGAAAACCACCCCACGGTAGATAAAGCTGCTGCTTCTATTAAGCTGATTTCCATCCAAAAGTACACTTTAGGTTCGGCAGTCAATTTGTCCACTCAAGTTGGGATGATATATTTCTATCAATCTCATTGGTGCTATCTCACAAATGAGCGGGGTTCCTTCAGTTCTATTACCAAGTTACAAATAACAATACTTGATGAATTGATGCAAGCTCTTTCCTTCATTTCCATGTTATCGTATCTTATCGTGCTAATAGCTGAGTTAATTTAAATTGTTAAAAAGCACGTCGTAGAGTAAATATAACCAATATTATCTGATACGAGCAAAGCATATGTAGCCGAGGAGGTATAAATGGGCAAGTTTTGTTTTCTGGTCCCGTCACAAACCGATGGTTATTTTTCCCCTGACGGTTATTAAATAGGTATTGTTGCCTATGTTGCAATTACGCGGTAGATGTGCAATTTGAATTTGCATGCCAATTTATCCTTCGAGATTGGATGCTTATCGTATGGTTTATTACCATAAATCATTTCAGTGTGAAGAATAGTTTTGTGTTATTCCACCACACATTGAAGCTCTAAAAGTGGATGGTTGTAAATCAGATAAGCTACTACACACCAAATAAAGAGCAATCCGCCGTTGTAGAAACCGAGAAAAACACTCTCTTTACTGCGTGTATTATTTGTTGATTATCCATGCCCCTTAGTAACGCGAAGCTAATTTATTTGTTCATACATGTCTATCTAGTGTCTGCGCCCCCTGGCACTACATCGGAAGGTGAGTTCTTTTTAAATGATTCACTACAAGTAAATCTTAAACAGTTTTATGACAGAACTAACGCTTTGCTTCCTATACCAGAAAGAAGGAAGCTAAGTTACTTAAAGCATGGCGAATGGTAGCCCAGAACACGTGGTTGAAATACGTATGTGAATGCCCTTTATATAACCCCACTAGATTTCCCTCCGTAGTATACAGTTTATATTTTTCCATATGAATTGCAAACCACCCCACGGTAGATTACGCTGCTGGTTGAATTAATATGATTTGCACCATACCTTTTACCTAAGTTTGGGCAGTCACTTTTGCCCACTGAAATTGTGAGGATATTTCTATCAACCCTATTGATGCTATCTCAAAATGAGCGGGGTTCCTTCAGCACTTTTACCAAGTTACAAATAGCAATACTTGATGAATTTACGCAAGCTCGTTCGTTCATTTCCCAGTTACCGTACTTTATCGTGTTAATGGCTGATTTAATTTAAATTGCTGTACAATACTTCATAAGCTCACTATCCTGAAACATATTTGGAACCGAACGGGAAGTCATCATTTTAGAAAACTTTTTGGACGACCAGTTAATATATTCATGGGGATGGATAACGCTTCGCTATTGACGCAAAAATTTTATCAGACCTGATAAAGCTTTTGTGTCCATTCGAAACATTGTCCATCACCATAAATATATTACCCGGTCGTCTACCAAGGTTTCTGAAATGAGTACGTCGTATTGTTAATATAACCAATACTATCTAATACGAGCAAAGCATAAGTAGCCGAGGAGATGTACATGAGCATGTTTTGTTCTCTAGTCGCGTCACAATCCGATGGTTATTTGTCCCCTGAAGTCCAGTGATTAGGTATTGTTGCCTATGTTGCAAATGAGCAGTAGATGTATGATTTGAATTGGATTTTAGGTGCTCTTTAACTTATTAGTAGAAATGCATCACTATCCAGTGGCCCCAACCATAGTCCGGCAACAGTCGAGTCATGCGTTCGAGTTGCACAGGGTATAGATGGGGCGTGAAATTCTGACAATTCCCGAAAAGATTAAATGACGGTACAGTGTGATGATTGACTTACTGCGACCGGTTGTGCTAAATTTCTTAATATATCGTTCAAACCCTCCGCCTCTCATTAGCTTCTTAATTTGAGTGCCTTATACCATTCCTGTACTTGGTAACGTATGAGCCCCCTTAATGCCCGCTTTTATCACGCGCCCACAAGGAGTCTGGATATCAGCATAATATTTAAATATTTAAACAAATGTGCCCATTTATCTAGATCATCTCATCCAACAACGGTAATGAACAGGAGAATGAAAAGACAGATACCAAATAATAAACCACAAATCCAATGGTCAGACATCTAAACGAATCTCCCGTTTAATACAAAAAAGTATCAAACAGTTCTTTGGGAATCGACCAACTTTCTCAAAAACACTTACGTCCGTATAGTGAAACCGCCGAAGTATCTCTAACCGCAGAACACCTAATACATCAACACAGTAATGAAGCGCGTTTACTGACGTTCGAATTTCAAATACGGGTAATCCGCGTAATCTTTTAGGTATCAATAGTTTTTGTGGACCTCACGAACATTCTGAGAATCATTTGAAAGCATACTTGTGTTGGTTTAAAAACCCAGTATTCCTTCAAAAATCAAGGCATGTTACATTTTTAATTAATTATTTTAAAGTGCTTGAATTCCTTCTGTTCTTTTATTTGCAGCTGGTTCAAAATTGATACCTATGGCGGCCACAAATCTGTTGCTCATTACGGCGGCACGGAGTTATGCTTTACGCTGAAAACTTTACGATTGGAAGCATTTTATCTCTTCGTTTTAAAACTCCAGGTGGCTGGCATTCAGCTGCAAACATTTTTTATTTTTTTATGTAATGCATGTAATCCTGTTTCAAACTAAAATATGTCCTGTCATCAAATCCAATTGCCGCTTTTATTTGTTTTCTTAATTTTATATAATTTAGTACACGCTTATTAACAGCTATTCCCAATTTTGTCCCCGACACAGCCTGTGTATTTGACATATATTTCAGAAAGTGAGGTGAACTTCCATGAACTAAACTGATCGAAGCTTTGCTCTACATACTGCTTGCCTTTTTATAATTCGAGATGCAGTTTCTTAATACTTGCTTGCCAAGGTACAGTTGGTGCTTTCGCAATTCGCTGAAGCGGCACATTATTGTTTATTGACATATGTAACTCTATATTTTGCTGCAATCTTGTTTGATAATTCGCTTATATCTACACTTATATTTATTAGTGAGCTTCCACAGTCGGTTGATGCGGGATACTTATTTCAGTCTTCTTTCTTCTTTCGAAATCCATTTGCAATGGACCAAACTGGTTTCTTTATGTTACTGCATACCTTATTGAATTATTTTGTGTAGCTTGTCCCAGATGAAGTCAATAACATAAATGGTTATCATTAACTTTGCCATTCCAAAGTGGATTTTTTCTGAATGTGACGATGGCATACACAAATACTGATTACAAAATGACAGACCATATACATGGAGCTTAGTAGCATCTAAATCGCATTTGTAGTTATTCAAATAATATGTTGGCAGTTTAATTGCTAACTACAAACTGATCAATTGACCCAAGAATAGAAGCCTGAGAAAAAGCAAGCGAAATGCTACCAGTATGCGCAGCCTCGTGATGCCGATGGAATTGGTTACCGCTGAGTATATATCATTATTATAAACTTGGAGAACCTGTAGAACATTAGATAAGTATAAGCTAATCAACGTAGAAGAATGCAAAACGAAATAAGAAAGAGGTGGCAAAATTGATAAGATATGCCGTTGATCTTGTTCTCCGATATCGATTCGTGACCAGATTTCTATTAGAACGTAAAAAATAGCGGTGACGTTCATGAAGACATAAATGAATAAATAAATATTTTGCTTTTTTCTCGACTGTATGAGACACGGTGCAGTTTGCTAGTCCGATCAAATCAGGGGATCGCAAATGTGTTGATTTTGCAGTTAAATGGAAAATGTACGCAGGATCATAGTTTGGTGAAGCAGGCAGACTCCTAAAATGTCTAGTATCAATCACATGTAAGTTGGTTCGTAATTCGCAAACATATTGCAATTAGCAATTTTATGTCATTGCTATATTGGCAAATAGTCGGATTGCGGTTTAATCCAACTTTACAACGAAGTATCAAGCAACTAATTGGCGGCCAAAGCGCTGTATTCGAAAGAAGCTTGAGCTAGTGCTTGTTGTTTCATTATGTAGAGTGAAAATACACCAGCGTTGATTGTATGGAATTAAGACGACAAGCATCCTGCTGTATAGGCAAATCTCTTCGTAGTAGTTGAACGAGTCTCGGTGGAAGGGACAAGTTGGATAAATATAATAGTGAACATGTTAAACGATTTGTGAGCGTAGAAGGCAGTTCTGGTTATATCAGTTTTAATACATCTGATGTATTGTAGAGAAATTATGCTGCAGGTTTTAAAGCTGTTTTCCGCCGTATACAATGAGTAAACATAGGTGTGGGTGACATGCATGTTGGCTAATTATATCTTGTGAGATGGCCATTCACTAGAATTGATTAGGCCTGTATTCCAATTGCTCGTCGCTGGGCCTGCCAATATTTTGTTATCCGTAACGCAGGTAATACACAAACACTTTATTAATTATGCTCCAAACTATGTACGTAGCACACACATGCTTAGTAGTTTCATGATGCGCGTGTATGCCTACATGTTACAGTCACCGATAGCAACTATGGCCCTTTGTAGAACAATCGAAAAAGCGCGGTTTAACAGTCATCTGGCACAGGAAAATGAGCACCCGGTTGGTCTTCCTCATCTGCTTCCATGTGCAAATGAAGGCCTTGAGATAGTCACGACCGGTTATCGAGAGAATATAACAGGTGTCCAAAGAGTAAAAAGGAGGAATCGATTTACTTTTCATTGTTGACTTTTATGTGCACATAAGACATCCGGGTGGACGTGGCTGAGTAATGAAGGAATCTAACATTGGTCAGAAGAATGAAGAAGAGACCCACATCATGTGTGCCGCTTTTTACTGCAACTCAGCAGCAATACAAACCTGAGGGGCCACTCATTAAAACTCGCAGAACAATACAGTCGTCTGGAGTGCCGCAGAAATTTCTTTGCAATTCGTGTCTGTCACCCGTGGAATGCTCTCCCAGAATCGGTCGTTTCTGCACCGACACTAACAATATTTAAAAGACGGTTGGACGATGCACCCATCCACTTACATTTTGTTACTTAACACTATGTCTCCATCCTACACCTGGAGTTTACCCTGGAGTTATTTGTTGTTAACTGTGGGTGATGTGAATCTAAGTGGATCGCAGGACTGCAGCGAAGCAAACGATGAGTCCTTATTTTCGTACTTAAAGTATTAACTATTTTACTATCCTTTTCATCATAATTGTTATGTTGATATCCCCACCAACTATCCAACGGGGCTTGTAAAGCAACGCTTGTTAACCCGTATAAATTCATTGTTAATTGTTCGGGATAACGCTCAGTGCAGCCACCGTATGAACATGGAGAACTTGACTTTGATATACTTCGGTAAAGGGTGAATGTGAGGTATTTTGGAAGAATTAACATAACAATTCTGTCTGCTCATTTTTTGTATTCTGCAGTAAGAGCAAAACTTTTTAATTTGCGACTGAGAAGTATCAGGGAAGTGAAATGCGATTTGGTCCATTCAGATAAATTCTGTTTCCGTGATATTTAGCTTTAATTATTGCATAGCCTTTGGAAGTCCGATTG